AACTAAAATAGTTTTTCTCTATTCTGTTCTCTCTACTGTTTTTATAGCAAGTAACTTCATCTCCTTTCAGCTTTTGATTTGCTAGGTTAAACAAACCAAGTCTGTTAGTCTCCTCTTGCAAATTAAGATTTTTATTGATTGTCTTAGTAGTCATTTTCGGTGCCTGTTCCAGTTTGAATGACCTTTGTTGAATAGAGGAGACTACCCAAGGAGCCGGAGGAGGCCCTGCTGTAGCTGTGTACGGCACAGCTGCTGGAGTCTCTGTTGTCTTTCTCTCTACTGGAAACCTCTCCTGATGTCACTTGAGTTTTCCTCTTTCACGCTGGCACCTTTTCACTCTGTCATCTGTGGTTGCCTGATATATCCAAGTCCTTCTCCCAAGCTGCTTGGTTGACAGGCTTCCACCATGCCGCAGAACTCCTGTATTGCTCTTGTGTTATTTTCCACTTTGTTTTGCTGACTTTTGCCATGTTTCTGTTATCCTAGTTCTCATGATCAGCCTATTGCTTTCTATATCATATCCTCTTAACTTTTTCTTATCTAATTGTATCATCACTCTCATAATTCTTGTGTTATTAATTAAAACACTAAACATATTTAGTCCCAAGACAGTATTCAAAATACAGAAGATACAATCCCCATTCCTTAACCTATGCAAGGTCAGTGTAAATGAAGGTTATTCAGCCTAATGTTTTGGATGGTACATTACGATATTTCTGTCTATTCAGACTCAATAGCTGTTTGTCCGGGCTGTATTTGTGTAGGTACCTAGGAGATATTGAGTAATAAATAACAAATTACTTCTGTTTTGACAGCAGTGCCAAGGGCCTTCAGTCAGGGGTTGGGCCCTGTTTGGCTGAGCATTATGAAAACAATCCTTGGACAGATGCTTTGGTGAAATAAGGGAAGAATAGCAGGTCTGTATGTGGGGCAATGTAAAATGAAGTGTAAGGGTGATGATTGAGGGAGAAAACCAAGTAGAGGGAGACTGTGCCTTCAGACTGGAGGAGGAAGGAATCAGCAAGATCTTGGAAATAACGTGTGGCAGAGAAGCCAGTTGGAAGCACTTTTCCCCCCTTTTTTATTAATTCCTAGAGGGTTTGTTCTGTTGTGATGCGAAGCTTGTGTACAATCCTGTTTGTAGTGACTACGGTACCTCCCTGTCGCAGGCAGTACACGGCAATACTCTTTTTTTAGAAAGCCAGCCCCTGCGCACTCTTGAAATTGAAACGTCGGTGTTACTCCCAGCTCTGAGCCCCGACGATGGCCTGCGCGCTGTCAAGGGCTGTTGACCTTTCCGTGAGCAGAGAGCATCTGAACTCCACAAATCTATGAGTACTGCTGATTATTCCAAGTGACTGCTATTAATATCAAGGAATCGGAGACATGAAGCGCTGCTTTCACTTCTGGTGATGATGGCACAAGAAAGTCTCCTTGTTTCTTCAGAGATTCCCTTCACTTTCCGCCCGTGCCATTTCTGATTAGAGTTTTCTCTTGGAGGGTTTTTTGTTATAAAATCAACCTCCACAGTGTAGAACTGGCTAGAAGAAAAATAAGATTTGTTTACAGAGTTTACAGCATAAAGACATCCTGAACAGCAGGAGCTGGAAGCCCTAGCACACTCAGGGGACCTCAGTGGTTTACCAAAAAAACGCAAAACCAAAACAACCCCAGAAGAACCCCAAAATTCTCAGCCAACCAACTGTGGGGAAAAGTAACAAACAAAATTTGTATTGACCTGCAAAATGAAGGCAGCCATACACGTCAGAGGCTTTTAAAACTGCGTTAGAAGCAAATGTCATAAATGTATTGGTTTTAGATGTGAAAGAGCTAGTGAGAGAGATGCAATAGCAGGGAAGATCCTGCTTTCTCCTAGCAGGATGCCAACAGTTGTCTTAAACACCTCTGTCAAGTACTGCAGCATTTTAAAATGTACAAAGAACAAATAGATTGCCTTAGATTTGTGTAATTCCTTAGGAACTTACTGTTTTCATCATCTTCTGTACAATGGGTGTTTTCCTTCTAATATTTCTTATTTACTCAACTAATTATGTAGCAGGGTTTTTTAATTGATTCAAGTTCCAAAATCCCTTTTTTTTAAGGTTTATGTGAGTGTTTATACAAAGGATATAGGGAGAAGGCATTCTGTTTAGGTTTCAAATGAACATGCCAAGTCTGAAGGTGTGAGCCATATGTCACTTAGGTACCCCGCTGTGGTTCTGCAGAGCTGATGTGTTGCTCAAGCCCATCTCCAGCCACAGAGCAAGAGACCTAAAATTATTCTGCAGATAAATGTTGTCTGTACATCTGCTGCTAAATAAGTAAAGGCCAGAACTGGTAGCTTTGAGATTTCATTTCCAGTTAGGAAGCAAAGGAAAATACACAGTGACAGACTAGGATAATTTGTACTGATTTCCAGGAAATCTTGGAGTAGTTTTGTTTTGGGGGGGGCTAGGGTTTTGGTTTTTTTTTTTTTTCCTGAAGGGTAAACTGGAGGTGAGTTTTCTTGCCTGGGTGATGGCACGAGGTCACTGAAGGATGTTGCTGTGTGGTAGCCATGCCTGCTCCTTCTGCCTGGGGTCTGTAGTGAGGGGCTTACTAGAGCGAGGTCAGGCAAGGACCGCAAACAATTTGAAATGTTCTGTGCCTTAGAATTTTAATGAAGTCATCTGAGAAGGAGATTTACACACTGGACATTCACAATATATGACATCTGACCATCATTCTGAGAAAGTTAATCTCTAGATCACTTGTTGAGCTCAGCCCACAGCTCTAGTGACCAAACATCTCCGTTATTTTCATGCTGTGCATGAAACGAGTGTGATTTTTCTCCCCATTGGTTCTTTGGAAGCAAAGCTCATTGCCCCAGTGTGCTGCTCCCCATTGGTTCTTTGGAAGCAAAGCTCATTGCCCCAGTGTGCTGCTCCCCATTGGTTCTTTGGAAGCAAAGCTCATTGCCCCAGTGTGCTGCTACCCAAGGCAGGAGTCTTTGTACCATCCCAGCCTGAGACACCAGGGAAAGACCCGCTTTTGGGAGACCCTCCCTCTAAAAAGCTGTGCCCTCAACACATGGGGGTACAGGATGCAACCTGATTGCCCATGCAAGAGCAGTGCCTTCACTAGTGCTAAATAGCTTCTATTCTTAGAAAAGTATAACAGCAGGCAAACAGCTAGTATTTGCTGTAGTTCCATCACCTAGAAAATCTCAGCTACACTTTTTTCCATAGAGAATAGGGCAGATGAGACATAATGTGTTTCTGTTCCCATCAACGGGCTTATATCTGCAAAATTTGGTTGTTTCCTTTGGTCTTGAAAAGAACAGCTTGTATCCTTAGAGAGTGGGAAAATAGTCTGGCATATTTGGGGGGAAAAAGGTATTACCACTATTCAAAGAACTCACATGTATAATTACTATAAAATTTACAAATCCACACAGAAAAAAAGGAAGATTTTTGAAAATTAATTAGAGAATCTTGTCTCGAAAATTAGGAACATTTTAATTTTACTAAGGTTGGGTGCATGCAGGCAAACCACCTTTATATATTCCACCTCTTTGCTTCAACTTTTGTAGTTTCACATCTGATACCTACCAGTCACTGACAGTCACTTTCCTGCACGAAAAATCCACCGACCCTGAGAGTTAGCTGGTTTTTGGATTGGAAGTACTGTTCACTTGCTCTGGAAATGCTGACTCACTTGACAGCTCAAAAAAAAAATCCAAACCAGAAAAGCGCTCTAGCACCTTTATGTGAGAACATCTGCTAGGCTGATAGAAATTAGCCTTCATTGCATTTATTTATTTACTTGCCAGTACTATACAGTGCTCTTCATACTGTTCTTCAGAGCATAGTCTGCTCTGCCCTGCAGGGTGGAGTTAGCAGTCTGCCTATGCTGAAAGTCAGCCTGGTGGGCAGAATTCCAGAAACGTAGGGTGGATATTTCGGGGCTTGCTTAGAATTTCAGTACTTTCTAATCATCAGCGCTTAGATTGGTAAGGATTTGAGGGACAGATGTACAGGGTCAAAGAAAAGAAATCGTGGTCCAAGGAGTGGGGGCTGGGAGGGGAGAAGTCACAAGGAATCTGTAAGCATGTAATCAGGACGCCTCTCTGGAAAAGAGAGATTTGTGGTCCGTATGCATTTTGCAATACAGAATCACAAGGTAAAAAATGCATAACATCTTTAGGATTATTATAATCCCGGAATAAAGCTCTCTTTGTGGGTCATTCCGTGACTTTTCTGGTACAGTAACATAGCTGAATTTGATGGGTGGAGATTTCCACAGCCTCATTCAGCCCATATCCTAGTGAGTTTTGGACATCCTCTTGGATTGTGTAGTATGGAATTGGATCCCATCCCGCAGAGGAAGACGAAGATTCTGTGTTTAGGAAGCTACTGAGGAAGTTCTCCGCCTGCTGGACCTTTATACACTACTGGTGCCATATTAGTCCTAGCACACTTCCTGATCCGCAGGTTGAATCGAATACCATGGCTGTTGCCCATTGGCCTGAACTAATTCTGTTACTGCCGTCCCCGAGAGCTGATGGTGCTGTGTGTATGATCTCAGACTCTCAGATGTTATAAGACATGAGCTGGGTGCTGAGATGTGCAGGCAGGGTACGAACGCTTCAGGGCACACACCTTAGAAGGACTTTAGACACAGGAGCTTGCCACAAAAGCTCAGGTACTTACTGATTTTTGGTGATTGGGAGGAGTTTTTGTTGTTCATCTCAGGTTTTGCATTTCAATGTCTTTGCTTCCTGTCCAAACCCACTTGACTCCTTGTTGGTGTGGAGTACCCTGCTCCAGTCCTGCTTCAGGTCATTTCTTTTTTTTTTTTTTTTTTTTTTTTAAAAAAAAAAAGTATTAAAGTATTATGTAGTCTGTAACACTTTGAACCCAAGAGCAGCGTATGCTCATTTCACTGTTGCAGCATATCATTTGAGCTTCAGGAAAGTCCTGTTGGCCAATCTCAACTATTTTTCCTTTGTTTTCTTGCAGGCTCTGATACTTCACCAGCTCGGGCGCTACAGCTTGGCAGAGAAGATTCTCAGAGATGCCGTCCAGGTGAACTCCACAGCTCATGAGGTCTGGAATGGCCTGGGAGAGGTGCTGCAGGCTCAAGGCAATGATGACGCCGCAACCGAATGCTTCCTGACAGCGCTGGAGCTTGAAGCTAGCAGTCCCGTGGTCCCTTTTACCATCATTCCCAGAGTCCTTTGAAAGGGCATCTTGATCAACCGATTTTGGTTTGACTTCTGGGTGAGGTAACCCAGCGTGTCAGGCTGCCTGGTAACTGGTTAGTTTGAAAAACTTTAGAGCTACAGGTAACGAACTCCAGTCTTTTGCAGGAAAGTGGCCAAAACAGTGACGTGATACAATAGGTTATTGTCAGACTGAGAGGACAAAATGGCTAGCCAGAACCAAATCACTCATATCGCCTACAGTTTTGCCCTGGTAGTTTTAAAACATCGTTATATTGTTCATGGATAATGTGCCATATTTTGTTAGTGATACTTGAGTGTTACATAAAATTATAATGGAATCAACTACCAAATGTAGAATAAGTTAAAATTCAGTGGCAGAGCAGACTATTTTTAACAAGGCTGTTAATAAAACTGTTCTCTTCCTGCCTCTCAACCCCTTTTGGCCCAAAGTCAAAATGTGAATTTTCTGTTTCCATCTATATTTTAGTCCAGGCCAGAAAATCAGTTGAGTTCTTGGTTTTAGTTGTTAATAACTGTGATGTGTGGCTAACTGTTATCTCTATCTAGAGCAAAGGCTGAGTACAAGAATATTTATATTTTACCAATGTATGCCTGTTACAAAAAAATATATTGGTTATTTAAGTTTAACTTTTTTATGTGAATTCAGAGTTTATTTATCAAGGAAATATGTAAAAAGAAGCCTCAAATGGAATATTTACCGACATTCCTTACACATGACCCACACTTGGCTGAATGGGAAGATTATGTTGATAATAAAATGATTTTTAAATGGAACCTTTCCTGTGTCCTGGTTAAGAACGCAGGGGGAAATAGGTGGCTTGTGAACACATTTTTATGATGTGGGACTGGTGGCTGGCTGTCCTCGGAGATGAACACCACCAAGATTAAATGCCCTGAGGCCGGTCTAGAGAAAAGAAACTGCTCTACTCTTCGCCAATGGTATTGTTACCTTAGATTTCAGGTTTCCTTAAATCTTCACTTCTTTTTTTATTCCCTCTACTCCAGCTCTCGATGAAGCCAGATTACTCTGCCTCTACATAATACATGGACATTTATGCATACCTTGGTAGCGCTCGGGAAGCATGTGTTAAATATTTACACACTATTGTTGCGTTTTCTTTACCTGTCTTCGTAGTTCTTGCTCAACATCTGCACTTTGCATCTCCTGAAGGAAAAGTGGGCTGGTAACATATTACTGCCTTATCAGTAGTAATAGAGCCAAATGTTCAGTAGACAAATACTTACCAAGAGTTTCTTTAGGATGCGTGGAGAAGTCATTTGTTGCAATGAATATTCAGGGTGCATGAGCTGGAGTAGTCTGGTGTCTGCTCATTTACAACGTTGGGCTCGTATGGAGCCTGGGAAGAATTCCAGGTTCCCCGTTAGTCTGGGTGCTCCTTGGTATTTGCCTGATTTTTCGCAAGAAGCTGTTTCAAAGCGCTTAGCACAAGATAGCAGATGATTCAGAAAAATAACAGCAAATGTTTTTCTTTGTCGCTCACCAGAGAGCTTACTCACCTCAGATGCATGGAGGATCCTCACTGCAACGCAGGCTCTGCACGCTCCAGTGAGAATCTCCAAATGGCAGAAGACTTAAACTTGGGGGAGCTCTTCATTTTTGACTCTTTTTTTCCCCCCCTGACATTTCATGTTCCTTTTAGACTGAGGCTACTTTCAAATTGTATCTGCTTAGAGCTTAGACCATAGGTTATCTGTAAAATGGACCCAAAGGCTGTAATAGGTAGTGTTTTCAAATCTATTTATTTTTATCCATTTCTAGTTCAAATCTTGCTCACTGCGGAAACAAAGTTTTTTAAAGTGCCTGTTTTGCATGTTTTCTTCCTCCTGCCCTTGCCTTTTTTTTTTTAATTCTCTTTTCTATTTGCCAACTGTTCTCTTTTCTAGTCCCAGCTCATAATACGTGCTGTGGCCCTGCTGTCTTCTAGCACCCACTGTATGGTACCTGGTGTACCAAAAGATACTGCAAAACCTTTATTTGTTTAATTCATTTCTTCCTGACCCTTTCTGCTATCACAGTTCAGATATTTAAATGTGCAATACCTTTCACAGACATGCTCCTTCACAATGTTTATTCATCTTTTATTATAATATCAAAGCTTTTCTAACAAGGCAGTTTGCAGCTAGATCTGAGACTGGTGGTCTTTCTCAAGAGAGCTTCAGACGAAAGTGGAGAATAGGAGATTCCTGTAATAGCAGAATTTATCTTTGATTCTCCTCATTTAATTTAAAGTCCTGGCCTCTTTTGATAAACTCCCAAAGTGGAAAGGTTAGCAGTCTAATTGTGTCGTATCTTTTATGAGTGGAGAAGTTGTCACCGCTGTTGTGTATATCAGGTGAACCTGAATATCTGTTTCAGTTTTCTTACACGGGAATCAGTTTCACTGCAAATCCACAAGCTTCTACCTCTTGGGAATAGCCTCAGCTACGTATTTTTAAAAATAGATTGTCACTGTAAGACCGTACATTCAGGAATTTTTCAGGCAGAAGTGGAAATCCTTGCAGCATATGAATTAAACAGCAACACTTGTTTAAACATAGTTTTCAACTTAAAAAAAAAAAAGTTACTCAGTTTTACAGCTGTATTTCTTTTTTTTTACATCGAGTAAGAAGGCCAAGAATATTTTTATATCTATTTTAGTTGGTATCCAGAAAGATCTGCCTTTTGCAATCGGCTCTCAGATGCTCTAGTATCTCAGTCAGGGGAGCGAAGCAAGCAAGGCCAGTGGGTGTGAGCAGCCAGCCCCGGAGAAGCCCCTTGGTGCTGACGGGACGGAGTCATCTGCACGGTCCGGGTTGCTCCCCGGACTTTGTGGCTGACCACATCTCTATGTGGAAACACAGAGCTACGTGGGCTCTTGCTCCCCCAGCCTGTGTCAGCAATAATAGCTGTTCGGATGAATGGTGAGAGAAATCAAGGGCTGATCCAGCTGAAAACCAAGCCAAGCCCTTGTTCCAGGAAGGTAGGAGCCTCGCAAAGCCCTCAGGCGGTTCTTTCATCTGATTTACTGCATGAGCAGTAGCGCTAACATGCAGAAGAGAAGACAGGGCTTCCCCTCCACACAGCAGCCCGGACTTGCACCGGTTTAAAATCGCCATTAAATTGCATTGCCAAGCACTCTAACTGTATCCCTCTCGTGACAAGTTGCACAAGCTGGAGATCTCCAGCCTTTCAACGGGGATCAAATGCACTTCTCTCATCAGTAAGACTGCAATAGCAGGGTTCAGAGGAGCCTTCCCTTACTCTGCAGTGTGCCCGTGCTACTCAAAACGAATAATGTCTGGTGTATTAAGCACGTGCTGGAGTGTGACAACAACCTCTGTTGCATGTGATAAAAGGTCTGACTCCCCAGAGCTTACAATAAAAAAACATAATCATTCAAGTCACTGGTTAAAGTTTATCTCTAATTTTGGTGCACATAACCATTTTTATTCCACGAATTATTTAATTTCCTTTTTTTGCTTTCCTGAGTGAGAAGCACAAGAACAAGAGAACCAGTCCAAGCAGAACTAATCCAACTGTATCTTTGAAAACTTTTGTCATTAATTATATGCATTTTAAACATCAAAGGCTATTTTTAAAAATGCTACAATTTTCTTTGAAAATCTGTTTTTTCCTGCATAGACTGTTCTACTCTGGAATGATACTATAAGCCTGAGTATATCGGAGTTCCAGATTTACCTCACTAATTCTTTGTTTGTTCAGTTGTCAGTTAAAATGACATTTTTCTTAACTGTCAATCTGGCAATCATCCTCTTTCCTCTAGCATCAAGTTAAAAACTTTGTATGCTAACATATGCTTTCAGCAAGCACAATTCTCCAGCATTTCATGTATTTAACCTCGTCGTCTCCGAACTCCCTTCTCTGATGCCACTGGCGGGCTATGCTGGAATGTGTCGCACTTCACTGTGCATTTAGATTATCACAGATAAACAGCTGGTAAGAATCCTGCTCGGGGACAGTGGGGAAGACAGTGAGTGTTCAGCTTTTGGCCTGCGTGGTTGTCGTTGCTGATTATGTGAAACTTGATGGGAGTTTCTCAGACTGGCAAAGCCAGCAAGTGGGCTTGGAGAGATGGGGCAGTGAAGTTAAAGGGGATCAGAAAGAAATGCAACCCCAAAATTTTTGGGGAAGAAGAGTGTGGGGGGGGTGGGTGTTGGTCAGGCTTTGTTCTTCCCCGTTTCAGGAATGCATGGTCCTGATACGCTGGTTTGCCACCACCTTGGTCACCTGGCCTGTCTAGGTCCCAGTTTAAAGCACCTCTGTAGCCCAGGTGTCTGGTCCCCTTAGTTATTATTTCAAAGGGAGAAAACTGTACCTTTTTATTTCTAAATCCTTTGAAAAGATTCTTCTGTCCAGCTCCAGTTACATTCCCAGTCATGGGATGGCCAAGCACTAGACACCACTGTACCATCATAATTTTTGCCTGGACATTTTCAGATTACAATGGCTGATGGATGTGATCTTTTGGAAGCAATCCATAAGGCATGGCAGGAGCGCACGGCAAAGCTCATGAAGGTAAGAGGGAGAGTGCTTTTGCTTTTCTAAATATGCCTTCACTTAGAAAACTTATTTGGAGGAACTGAGTGTAAAAACCTATTTTGGACATTAAAGGGTCAATAAAACGTGTCATTGCTGTGCTGAGTTCTTTTGCTGTGTGTCCTTAGGTGAGGTGGGCATGAGGGCAGGAGAGATTACCCTCGCCTGCTTCATCCAGATATAAACCTCTACAGCTTGCTCACCCTGTCCACATTGGGGTAGCATGACCACCTCTTGGCTCCCTCTCTGCCTCTAAAATTGCCTCCCCAAGAAAGTGACACGCTTCAGTATGAAATTACTGAAGGCGCCCTGTCTAGCTGGCTTGAAAAAAATAATTGGAAGACATAGTAAAGTAATGATAATATTTGTTGGTTAGTACCCGGTGACATGGCTTTAAAAAGGTGTGGAATCAGTGTTTGTCTGCTTGTTTCTATAGCTTAGCCCCCTCCTCTGCCAGGACAGTGAAGCTGGGGCTCCCTCCAGTTGGTACAGCCAAGGAACAAACATCTGATCAGCGTGTGTGCCCTTGGGCTTGCCACCAAAGAGAAAAAACCAGACTCCCTTACAATGCTTTTAAGCATAATTTTTTTCTATGCACATGCTCACAGGCTACAGAAAGCCAGGTTACAGGTGCATTTACGCTTAGGGCAGAAAGTTTTGAGGGGACTCAAAGTTCATCTGCGCGTTCACTTCAGCTCCTGCAAGGCTGTCTCCTCTATAAACAGGCTTTTCTTTTCTGATAGAAAGTTGGCGGTGCTAGAAAAGGAAATTCTGACCCCAATTTTCACTTCCAACGCATGTCAGATGTATATCAAATAATGAGCCTGAGACGTTATTACTAGTGCAGGTTTTCCCAGGACTGTTGTTTTCCAAACAGCACTGACTACTAATGTAGGACTGGAGGGGGCAACAGAGGCCATAAAACATAACAAGTTGCTTCCCTTTCGACTGCCGTGCAAAAATAGCTCTTTATCTGGAGCAAACCAGCAATCTTCTGACTG